CCCCAAAACCCCAAAACCCCAAAACCCCGCAGAGGAATAAAATAATAGAAATGAAAAAAATAGGTGGATTTTTAAAGCAGAGATTCAAGCAGGCTGATATGTTCTCGAAGAGTGTCAGTCTTTCTTATAAGCAGAAAGAGCACTTTCAGTGAGTTTATGGAGGGATTGTTAGTACAGTTATCTTTACCATACTTGTTTCATATGGAATTCAAGTGTTTATTCAAATGATTACGAAAGGAGCTACAGATAAATCTAGGAATAGCATTATGAATGATCCTTCATCTCTGAAAGAACTTTATACTTTTGGACCCGATGATATTGGATTAGCAGTGATGTTGGCAAGGACTAATACTTCAGAAGGTATTGTAGATCTAAGCTATTTTAATGTTACAATTGCTCAGGTAGAGCATTCCTTTGATATAAATACCAATATGAATAAAATAACCACTTCTTACAGGAATGTCTCAGTCTGTGAAGAGAATTATCCTCGAATTAATGAAGGTATCGATAAGTTTAGACCTACACTTAAGACCATGACTTTCTGCCCATCAAACTCTACCTTCACTGTTGGAGGAAGTATGCTTACAGATATTTTTAAAAATGTTCAAATTAATATTAGAAAATGCGTGAATGGAACTTCTGTAATTTGAAAAAGTAAATCTGAGATTGAAGGAATGGCTAAATCTATGACAGCTTCCCTCATTTTTGGTGCGAAGTATTTTGATTTTGATGATTATAAAGAACCCATCAAGAAATTTTATGATAACAGGCTTAATTTTTTGACAGTGCCTACATTCAAAAAGTTCTTCCAAGTTTTGCTCAGAAAAAATAAAGTCTCACTTTCTGATTCAATATTACCATTAGGAGGAGGGCAAGAAGAGTCTTTTTATTCTATTGGAGATTATCAGTCAGATTTTTCATTTGTAGATTCATCTGATCCTTCTCTTTTGATGCAATTTGAAATCAGACAGGATACTGTTGTTGACTCTTATGAACGCAGAGTCTACACATTTCTGGATTTCTCTGGCCAGCTCGGTGGATTCTTTGAAATCCTTGTCATTTTAGGTGGAATCATTGTTAATCACTTTTCAAGCAAACTCTACAATTACTCGATGTTCAACAAGCTGTATTGTGTCGATCAAAGAGATTCAAATGAGAAATCCATAAATGCTGAGGTTGCTCCAAAATCTAAAGTCTTTGATCATGAAATAAGTAAAGAATACATTTCAAAGAGCAATAGTAACTCAAGTTCGATCAACTTCAACAAGTCCAACGACTCGGAGTGTAAATAAATCACAAGACTCTGACTTACTACATAAGGTCAAACACAACCTCAATTCTCAAAGAAGATACAACTTTACAGCTAAAGAATACATCAAGTCGTGCATTCCATTCATAGCCAACAAATCCAAGCGTCAGTTCACAGCTCTCAGCGATAGATTCAGGTAAGCTTTCTTGTGACTTGTAGCGATGAGTGCGACCTGCCTTCGATCCTGAGATCCATCCGACAGCTCAAGACAATGATGCATCTGGTGCTGAGCGAACACCAGATTCTGCTCATGGGCTTCGACGTCAGAGCCGGTGTCAGGTACAACAGCAGAGTCGAAATCAACCCAATGACTCCAGGTATGCCTAAAGTCTGATTTAAAGTTGACATGCCTCCTGTTGGTGAAGCCAGAAGCAACAGTTTTTAGCGAGAAGATCGAGAACTTAATCAGAAAACTCAAAGAAGTTAGCAAAGAACAACTCAGCAAAGATGGTATGCTCCACAATTGATTTTCAGCAGCGACAATTCTTGGAATTGACACTTCTCAGGAGAACGAAGTGTCAGCTAAACATGAAACTGTGACGGTAATTTTGACTGGACTCATGACTAGAAAGACAAAAGCTTCTCTAAAGTGGGATTGATAGAAGAACAAAAAGAGAATGTTGACTGGGTAGAATATCCTGTGAAGAACTTTAAAGACATATAAATTATTTAAATTGGAATTGGAGATTTATTCAATTTACACATGGCATCTTGGGGTTTTGGGGTTTTGGGGTTTTGGGGTTTTGGGG